TTGGTAAGTTTTTTTACCCTAGGATATTGTTCATTTCATCTACATGTTCAAATTTATCGGTGCAAAAGACTCGTGTTTTTAACATCTTTTTGATCTCTGCCTTAGCTCTAGTTATTACCTCTTTTCATTTCTAATCGTTTGTGTCTTTTTTCATAGATAATTACGCCAAAATATTATCTATTTTAGTAGTCTTTTCAAAAAACCAACATTTGGCTTTATTGTCCTCTATTTTTATTTTCTAGTTATCCATAGTTGATTTTTATTAATTCTTCCTTCAACTTTGGGTTATTTTCCTTCTAACTTCCTTCTCTTTTCACTTTGTTTCTTAACTTTCCACTTTCTTTCCTAATATGCAAATTTAAAGCTATAAATATACCTCAAAGTTCTATTTTAGCTACATCTCATAAGCTATATAGCATTTTCATTATTATTCCATTTTAAGTATTTTTACATTTCTATTTGGATTTCTAATTTGTCTTATAAATTACTTAGAAGTATGCTTTTTAATTTCCAGTGTATGAGGTCTTTTTATGTTAACTGCTTTTATCTCTAACTTAATTATATTGAGGTAAAAGAACATAGTGCCTATCTTCTACTAAATCAAGTTTAAACAGAGGTATCTTTATGTCAAGGTTCTCAACATCCCATTCACCTATCCTACCCTTCATATCTCTAATCCTCAAAGCACACATCTTGCTTCAGTCAAGCAAGGCTTATCTTTAAGCATCTTTAAGTTCATTTAAGATCTTTAAGCATCTTTAAGTTCATTCCTACTTCCATGTCTCCATTTATTTTTAAGTGGACTGCTATCTTCTTTTCATCACTGTGTATAATTTTTTAAATAATTTCAATTGTTATTTTAGATTTGGGGGTACCTATGCAGGCTTGTTACATGGGAATATTGTATGATGTGGGTATGAATGATCCTGTCACTCAGGTAGTGTGCGTAGTACCCAATAGGTAGTTTTCCAGCCTTGTACCCTCCCTTCCTAGTCCCTCTAGTAGTCCTCAGTGTTTATTGTTCCCGTCTTTACGTCCATGTACACCCAATGCTTAGCTCCCACTTATAAGAACATGTGGTATTTGGTGTTCTGTTCCTGCTTTACTTCACTTAGGATAATGGCCTCCAGCTGCATCCATGTTGCTGCAAAGGACATGCTTTTGATCCTTTTTATGGTTGTATAGTATTCCATAATGTATATGTACCACATTGTCATTATCCAATCCACTGTTGATGAGGACCTAGCTTGATTCCATGTCTGTTGTGTATAATTTTTGTGTTCTAATCATTTTAAACTAGCCCACAACTTCTTAGCTACCTTTCTCCTTTTGATGAATTATTTTTAAATCCATAGAATATTTTGGAGCTTCTTTAAGGGTCTTCTGAAATGTTTGCATGTTTAAAATATTAAAACATTTTAATATTTTAGATTTAGCAGTTGGATTTGTGTAAACATCATTTCCTTTATATATTTTTCACATTTTCTGATGTTTATACCATGTACATATGTTGCATTTATAGTCAATGGAAAGAATTTTAAATGTTTTTAAATTATCATTTGAGTTAAAACATTTCCCTCAGTACTTCTGAGTCTGTCTTCTTTACGTTTTTTCTCTCCAGCTATCTGCTCCTCTCACTATATGATAATAATATTTTTGAGAACTAACTGCATGCACTAAATACATGTTGTGTGCATTGTGTCTTACTTTCTTATTTAGTCCTGAGAATAACTCTGTTGAAAGCACTATGATTGCCCCCATTTTACAGATGAGGAAGCTGAAGCTGGAATGTGACTTTTTCAAGGTCACACATCTAAACTATAGTATAAGGGTTTGAACCCAGATCCATCTGATAATGGAGCCAAGGGGCTTAACTACTATCCCATGCTGATTTCAAGAGTTCTTTGATTCTCTATGTATTGAGACGATTGTCAAGTATCTAAGCAAATAACTGATTCTGGAATCAATTCAGTATTCTTCTAAGACATTTTTAAAATTATATTCAGGAATTCAGCTTTCATACTATGATAGTCAAGAGAATGTTTCTTCTGGCTAAGTAGACAGATAATCAGAGAAATAAACACTACTTCATGTTATTTTTGATGAATGTTTGAGTCTAAACATTTCAATCATAATCCAAGAAAGAAACGCAGTTTTTATGTGGGAACCAGGCCTTGAGAAGAAAGGACCTTTCTTCTCAAATCTAGTGTTTATTAAGAGCTTTTTTTTATAATTAAAGATTAACTGAAAAGAAAGTTGATAACACACCAGAAAATTCATGGTCAGAGGAATTTGCCCTGCATGTTTAAAAATAAATCATATCTTAAATATCTCTCCTTGTTTCCCCTTTTCTCCCTCAAACTGTATTCACTAACTGACCCATAGGTCAGAGGCTGAATCATAAGAATTCCTTCATGCCTGTACTCAAAAAGCAGACAATCTATCCTCTTTTTTTCTTAATCCTTTCAAGATTTTTTCTTTTTTTTTTTTTTTTTTGCTAGGATATTTGAAATTACTATTGGAATTTCTCGTGCCTCTCTCCCCCTCCACAAAATAAACCATATAATGCAAACTTATTTCTTAGACAGAGTCTTGATCTGTTGCCAGGCTGGAGTGCAAGGGCGCATTCTTGGCTCACTCACTGCAACCTCCACTTCCCCGGTTCAAGAGATTCTCCTGCCTCAGCCTTCCAAGTAGCTGGGACTACAGGCATGTGCCACCAGGTCCAGCTAATTTTTGTATTTTCAGTAGAGAGGGATTTTACCATGTTGGCCAGGATGGTCTCGATCTCCTGACCTCATGATCCGCCTGCCTCAGCCTTCCAAAAGTGCTGGGATTATAGGTGTGAGCCACTGCACCCAGCCACTCTTTTCAAGATTTTAAAAGCACTGAAAGAAAAGTTTTCTCTTCTAATAATAATAATGTTATAATAGCTACCATTTATCAAATGTACTTCATGCATTTCATTAAGCAATTTTTGTTTTATCTCCAATTTTCACAACAACCTTCTTCACAGGTTAGACATCCACAAGGGGGAGGAGTGGTTCTTTGGTTACCCAAGATCACAAACCTCTAACCTACAGGTCAGTGATTACTGCATAGTTGCAGGGAGGAAAGGAGGAACCAGGCGGGAGAGTTAAGCTAGCACTTGCTATTCGATACACACCAGAACTGGGATTCAAACCAAATGTATCTGACTCCACGAATACACACTTGCCACTCAAGTCACTTGGCTCTGAAAAGCCAAAAAGAGAGAACCAATTTAACTCTTGAAGTGACACTAAAATTCATTAACCATCTATGAGACATTAAATGTATATGTTATATCACATCCTAATTTTCTGGAATCAATTTTATTTCACAATTTATTTTTTTCAGGAATAGTATCAATATAAAAAAATATATCAATATGTTAATATTCAATGGTAAGATATTATAAATATAAATTCTGATCCCCTTGTATTAACAATTAAACAATTTTTAAAAAGTCTTGCTGGGCATGGCGGCTCACGCCTGTAATCCCAGCACTTTAGGAGCCTGAGGCAGGTGGATCACAAGGTCATGAGTTCCAGACCAGCCTGGCTAATATGGTGAAACCCCATCTCTATTAAGAATACAAAATTATCTGGGCATAGTGGTGCTTGCCTGTAGTCCCAGCTGCTTGGGAGTCTGAGGCAGGAGAATCGTTTGAACCTGGGAGGCGGAGGCTTCAGTGAGCCGAGATCGTGCCATTGCACTTCAGTTTGGGGAACAGAGCAAGACTCCATCTCAAAAAAAAAAAGTATTATAAATATAAAATTCCATTAATAAGCCCAACCAAAACACTATAATTAGAAACGAAAATTTTTGTCAATATGAAATTAAGAAGTAAATTATGCTTCCTTACTAATAAGTTATAAAGATCTTCTCTTGCCACTGAATTGTATTTAGCTTTACTGACAGAGATTTCCTAGAATATTCCTCAATGTTTTCATTTAGATGACACATTTACAGTAGTTTTGTTATTTATTTCCAGGAAACATGTCCAGGAGGCACAAATCAAATCATATTTAAAATATTTGTTTCTAGTGCATTATGTGACATTTCAACACCAATTAGGTATCAAAATCCTTTATATTAAAAAAGAAGTTGAAATCAAGGGAAAAAAATGAATGAATATTATTTGTTATTCTATTATTTTTTAATCTTGTAGGTAAATATTTGTCTTTTTATATTAGAAGCACAGGACAATATAACTTGTCCATGGTTTCCCAATAGTTACACAGAAAATAATCATATAATTTTGTTCATGGGGATGTAAAAAACTAAATTTACTCACTGTTTAATTTCACTTTCCAAAATTTTTTATTTTTTGCTTAGGCCAATAATTGTGGATTACACAGTACAATTATTGCAATCATATATCATGACAATCAATTCAATTCAACAAAAATTCATTGAGTATTCACATACAAAGCACTGTGAAAGCACTAAGGAAGGATAAAGAGATGAGTAAGATTCTGAAAGAGACATGGTAGCAACTAAAGATAAAGCAGGAAAAGTAAGATCAATACCATAATAAAGGTATAAAGTGCTATGTAATCACAGTGTGAGAGCAGTTAATACCAATTGAATACATGTGTAATGGAAAAGTTGGAAAAGAAACTAACATTGAATACCTGCATTAAAAATATCCCAGGACGTTATCTACAGACATTATTTTACTCAATCTATGCAAGTTGACAGATATTGTGAAACAGTTTTTAAACATACTCTCAATATTTTTTCTTTCAGTAACTGTGATACACGATGCCTAAAACTCAAGTAAAAAGTAGAAATCCTATCTCAAAATAAATAAAATTAAAACTTTGTAGTCTTATAAAAGACAAGCTTCATACGACTTAAACAGAACGTTGCAAAGCCAAGGCACCCAGTTCGCCACTGATTACAGCTGCCCAGTGTGGACTCCTTCTCTATGCGTCTTGGTGGATCACACCTGAGATTTCTAGCTTCTTTTGCAGCTGAGCCATCAAGGCTGGGGAACCGCCCTGAAGAACTGCTTAGCCACACAGCAGCTTCTGGGGCTTTGCACGTGCTGTTTCCTCTGCCTTAAAAGCTTTCTTCCCCATCTTGTCTCCATCATTATCTGGTGACTATCACTTTCAGGTCTAAGCGTGGACATCACCTCCTCTGGCACATCTTCTGAGTCCCCAACCCTACTCCACACACAACTTTGTGTTAATTAAGGGTCCTTGATCTTCAGTTCTTCCATTGTACCCTATACTAACCCCACATAGCACACTCAAAACTATTTACTTGTCTTTTGTACTTAAGTCTGCAGTCACCTGGAAGGCAGGAACTGTGTTATGTTCAGCCACTAGCACAGCAATGTTACATCATAGGTGCTTATTATGGGTTGAAACATGCCCCCCCGACATGCAAAAATTACACTGATGTTCTAACCTGCAGTACCTCAGAATGTGACCTTATTTGGAAACAGTATCTTTGCAGATGAAATTAGTTAAGATGAAGCCATAGTAGAGTAGGTTGTGCACCTAATCCAGTCTGATTGGAGTCCTCATAAGACAATTGCCTTGTGAAGACAGGGACACAAAGAGAATGTCCTGTAACAACAAAGGCAGAGATTGGGGTTATGCAAGCCAAGGAATGCTGCAGCTTGCCAGCAAACCACCAGACACTACAAAGAAGCAAAGAAACCCTACAGGTTTCAGAGGGAGCATGACCCTACCAATACCTTGATTTCAGCCTTCCAGTTTCCAGAACTAGATCAATATTGTTTTAAGCCATGCAGTGTGCGGTACTTTGTCACAGCAGCTGTGGGAAAGTACTCAATAAATCTAGACAGATAGATGACAGAATCTACACCTGGCTATGACAAACCTGTGTCTATTCTCACTTCTTATTTCTTTCTTGCAGCCTTGATCTAAACAGAATTTCTTTGATTTTGTCTGGCCATTCGAAGTTGCAAGTTTTGTTTGTTAGATTCTAGATTCTCAGCCTTTTCTTTTATTCTCAAATACACCAGATGTGATTGTCTGTCTGGCTATCTCCAAAACTTAATATAGACGAATTCTATGGAAAAAAAATTGAACCTATATTTGCCCATTTTTACAGTATATATATTGATAAATCTTCATGCCTGCACTAAGTTAGTGTTTTGCACTTAGGAAAACTTTCCTGAGAATGTGCATATCTCAATAGCTAAGCCAGAAATAGGAGAGATGAGAGAATAAGGCTTTGTTACCCTATGCAAGCAACTAAGAAGACCCTCCTTACCATGGACTTGGTGGCATGCTGTTTGAGCTTGCTAATCCTGCTTCTTGACACCATTAGTGGCAATTTAATGTGATGGTTAATAGCTTGAACTTTGTTGCCAAATGGAGCTGGGATCAAATCCAGTTCTGCCATTTAATAGCCTGGGTCAGTTATTTAACTTTACCAAACTTCAGTTTCCTCACCTGTACAATGGAGTAACAGTAGCGTCAAACTTCTGAGTTGTTATAAGAAAATAATGATATGTCTATAAAGCTCTTAGCATAGCTCATCTGGTAAGGTCTTAATAAATATTAGTTATTTTTTAAAAGTTAGTTATTATTAGGTGGAGAAAAACCCTCCATTTAGGATCAGTTATGTAAAGCAGCATTTTATTATTTTGCAACAATAAAATTTCACAGCATTTTAATATTTTACAAAAGTATTTTGTAAAGCAGCATTGTCTTCAATAAAAACAGGATTTGGGCACAAACAAAAATGTATAAATATATCTTGGGAAAAAATATTTTTAAATTCTGCCAATACAAGACAAAAATGGAAGAATTTTACCTTCCATAGGCATAAGTCTTCATTATTGAGTTAAGATACCCACTTTTTTCTTTCTTTAAACAGGCTAAAACAAGAGAAGAGATTCTCCAACTCTTAAGAAAACAAAGAGAAGAAAGGATCTCGGTGAGACCAATAGTGAGGGATTTGGATTAATCTATCTGAAGGGATGAGTTGTGGCAAATTTGCATAGGTTTTATAGATTGAACCCTTAAATCTAGATAGCTATAGTCCAGAGCCATCTATATACCAGAGTGGGGCAAGGTACAGACATCAGATAATTTGGCAATCCTTGATAAATCAAAGCTATCTCCAGAGTTTGCAGACCTCCTGGCATAAGAAATTACGTATTTATTCTCTGTGGAGTTTATTGTTCACATATTATAAAGCTGTAAGATATTAATATGGACTGTTTCAGTGTTAATATTTGTTTACAATGATTGATCTTGCCTAGATCATACAAAAATAAATGTTAAATGAAGAGAAACAAACCTAATAAAAATAATAATAGTATCATGTAATCTTGTGGATATACAAAACGCATACTCCTGAATAAACCCAAAGCTCCCTAATGTGCAACATTTCTGACCCCCTAGTTTCCAGGTTTAAGAAGCTAGTCTTTATAAACTCTGTGATGATTTTATCTCAGATTTTTTTTCAAGTGAGTAAATTGCAGTCCGTGAAAGAAGTAAAATTTTACTTTTTTGATTTTTATTTTGTTTTGTTTCAGAAAGAACTGATTTCCCTTCCTTATAAACCAAAAGCCAAAGAACACAAAGCAAAGTAAGTTTACTTCTGTCAAAAATATTCTCTCACCTTTCAACTTACTGTGTAGGGAAGCACTTCTTTTTTCTTACTTTGTGGCTTACCCTTAAATCTTCTAGAAACCCACCCCACTGTATTACAGATTTTTTGCCTTGAATAAACTTTCTTCTCCACTTAAATATTAAAGCCTGTGTACCCACTTGTCTGTTTGTGGAATATGCAAACATAAGTGAGTGCAAACTGGAAAGCAGCTCAGCCTTGAAGTTTTGTGCACATTTTCTGTCCCTCCCTTCTCATCTTGGGCTATATAGTCAGTCACCTGCCATTATGCCCTCCTGGCTCCACTATCCCCATCCACTCATACCTGGCCCACTTCTTTAGTGAATCAGCAGGTGTTTGCAGTTCACCAGCTCTGAGTGGGCTAAGATTGCTAAAACTCATGTTCATGTAGCAAATTCTCAGTGATGAGTGAATAGACTTATCTCTGGAATAATGTTAGAACAGGACTAGGAACAGTTTAATAGTCTAGAAGAGTTAAAGGAAATAAGCTAGCACCAGTTAATCACTAATGCACCCCTAATAAGAAATTGCTCCGTTTTTTTTATGACTAAAAACCAGTGTGCCTAACTCAACATTAATTTGACAAATATTTATTTTCATACTACGTTCAGGGAGAAACAGCAAGTGCTAGAATTTTGATTCTTCTCTCATTGCTTTGAGGCTAACTCCCTCTAATGTGATCAAAGTAATATCATTAAGAAAGAATATGCCTACACTAATTTTTAAAACATCTAAAAAAAAATAAAAAGATCATTTAATCACCTAGCTATATCATCTACACTTAGCAACTTAATCTCTTGCTTTTTAGCCAGACAATTTGACTTAGCTTCTAAAGATGAAGCAAAACTAGCCCAATCAAGAGTAACTTACCTGATACAAATAGTGGATGAAGACTGATGCTTAAATAACATCAATAGATATGTCTGTGTGCCTTAGATTTCTGCATGTATTTTTACAGAACATTCCTGCTACTACCCATGTTGACCCACCTAATAATAAAACATTACTTCACAGCTTGGACAGATAATTTTCTTAATAATTTAAATGGTTGCTTAATTCCTTTTGTAAATTAACTTTGTCCTGCATCCTGAAGCCTTGAATTTCATTCTGTTTTGCTGTGATATCTTCTTACCATCAACTTCTAGTTACTTTTTTTTTTTTTTTNTTGAGACTCACTCTGTCACACAGGCTGGAGTGCAGTGGTACAATCTTGGCTCACTGCAACCTCTGCCACCTGGGTTCAAGTAATTCTCCTGCCTCAGTCTCCCAAGTAGCTGGGATTACAGGTGCCCGCCACTGCCCTCAGATAATTTTTGTAGTTTTAGTAGAAATGGGGTTTTGCCATCTTGGTCAGGCTGGTCTTGAACTCCTGATCTCATGATCTACCTGCCTCTGCCTCCCAAAGTGCTGGGATTACTTAGACATGAGCCACCGTGCCCAGCCTCTAGTAACTCTTTGTACATTCTTTGGGCAAGTAATCATGCACTACTCTGTGCCCATATTTTATAATTATTTAACTCATACCATTCCTTGCATTACTTAACTTTTTCTGTATTTTTTATATTGTCTGTAACTATATTGTTAGCTCCATGAGGAATTGGGTCACCCAAAGTGCCAGCATATTGCTTACATATTACATTCAGAAAATATTTATGACAAAAAGTTCAGTTTAAAAATATCATGTAATTCAGTATTAGCCAATTTAGAAAGTGATGTTTTCATATTACACATTAATTTATAAACTTTAAAAAATATGCTAAATATTGTAGGCACAATCGTAAAATACTTTTAACTTTGCCTTCTTTTTCATGCCTCTGTCCTTTCCTCTCTGCACAAAACTCCCCTACATACACAGATGCCCCCTTACCATTCCTCCTTCAACAGATATTAGTATAATCCAGGTCACCTTCCGTTAGAAAGAACTGGAAAGTGTGTTTATGGTAAGGTTTTAGTAGCAATATGTTTATTATCCATCCCAGAATGTTTGCATTTTAAAAGAAGTCTGAATAAATAAAACAATGGATAATCCAAAGAAATTAATTACCAATGATGAAATCTCAGGAGTCTGACTCTTGAATAAACAAACTATATTTAGGATAGGAGGGCTCCTGTACCTCCAATCCACACTTCACAGTATCATAACCACTTCTCCCACATACAAGTTTATACTTGGTTGTAAAACCCAAAACCTAGAATCCACAACAGTGAATTTTTACTGGGGAAATTTTCAAAAGTTGTTTTCATGCTACATCATATTCACAATGACAGAGTTCTGTGTATTGGAACTGACTGATATTACTACCAACAGGAAAGTGGTATCAGAGTCAGATAAAAAGGACCAAGAAGAAGTCAAAGCCTTGGACTAATTTGCTTGATACATGGCAGAGGATGGCTCACTCACACCTTCACTTTGGAAATAACCTTCTCTTAGGATCATTAAGATCACTGGCCACATTATAGAAGACAAAGAAATACAAGTTAAGTATGCAGATTTCTAGGAATTTTACCAGTTATTGAATACTTGTGTTAAAATAAAGTAAGAAATAAAAGTTAAATATGCAGACTTCTATGAATTTTGCCAGCTACTGAATATTTGTGTTTGTTTTACTTATTGGGTACTACTCTTTGACACCACACCATAATCATCTCTTTCATCTTACCACATTCTCAAACTCCTATTTATCTTATTTTCATTTCAAAGATATTTCCAGAATTTCTATGTCAGATCTATATTATGAATATCAGATAAGCAAGAAACAGGTGTTTTTATGTGTCTTGTAGACCACTAGTAAAAACAATAAGGCAATAGGAATGAAAAGGCAGTTTTGAAAACTTAAAGTCTACTTGCTTTAATAAGAAAACCTTTTAGCAAAATTTGGTTTGTTCCATTTCTGGAACATGTCTGAAGTCAGAAATGAGTTGCTTCTACCTCTGTGAATAACTGGCTTCACATGACTTTGTTTTACACGTGTACATAATCCCAGTGCCAATCTCCCTCACTTTCATTCCATTTTCTATATAATAGAAAAGATTAAGGATTTGTCCCTTCTGCATTGTCCAAATGGCAGTCCTACTCAGGGTTAGATGTTCTTCCCCATCCCTCCTTTAAGAGATCTTAGCATAATCCAGGCCCCCCTCTGTCAGAAAGAAAGAACTACAAAGTGTGTTCATAGTAAAGTTTAAGTAGCAACATGTTTATTATCCACCCCACGAATATTTGCATTTTTAAAGAAAGCTGAATAAAAGGAACAATGGGTAATCCAACGAAATCAGTTCCCAATGATGAAATCTCAGGAGTCTGACACTTGGGTGAGCAACATATATTTAGGGTAAGAGGGATACCCAGTGTTTGCAGCTCTATTTGGGACACCCATTCCCTTCACTACTTGGCCTCCACCTGGAACTCTTGGACACAGACTCCATAAGATGCAGCCCCCATCCACTGTGCCAGCAGAAGACTGGGTGACCCACTGGTCAGGACTTAATCACAAGGACACATCAGTCTGTGAGGGAGGCTGGAAATAGTCTTTAGATAATGGGTAGGGGTCATGTGTCTAGTTAAAATTCAGGGATTCTGTCACCAAAAGAAGTGGAGAATGGATATTAGGGGACAATGACAAAGTTCTGGCACAACACTATTTGAAGAAAAATGTTTGGAACAAAAGGAAAGTCCGGCCTATGAAAGGAAAAATTTTTGTTATAAATTGGAAGCCCCATCCCAGCACCAGTAAGAATAAAAGGTAACCTGTCTGGTTGATATATTTGTCTGTCTAATAGGTAGGTCTTTGTTGTGAAGATGGACACAGCAGGCTATCAAATCCTAAGTTTTAAAATCATATAAATAATTCCTTTCATTCTGATTTTATGCTGATAAATCTTTTTTGCCCAGAGATAGAGTATGTGTTCCACAGGCCAATGCAAGCATTAGTTTACCTGAAAATTATATTTCTCAATGTGTAAATATACTAGTCACTTAGATTGGGTTTGAGCTTGTTAAACTAGGAATTGGACCCTGGACCAAGATAATTTCCCCAAGAAAAATTCTACTTTGGTGAACTTTCTTGGCAACCAGCCTTCCCCTGGTGATACCTCCCCTACACTGCCAAGTGTAATGGTTAGCTATTGCTGCAACAATGCTGCCTAACAAACAGGTTGAAAACAACATTTGTTATTACTCACACCTCTTCAGGTCAGAGAGGAGTTTGGCTGATCTAGGCTTGGCCAGACAACTGTGACTCAAGCTACAGCACCTAGAGCAGCTCTGCCTCTTACTACAGGTTTGTCAATTGCCTGAGGTAGCTCTGCTCCATTTGTCATCCTCTTAGGGATACACATGGACCAGTGGGATATTTAAGGTATGTTTGTCCCAGAGAGTGGCAGAGAAGCAAAAGAAATATGAAGCCTTTTCTGGTCTAGGTTCAGAACTACGTCATTCTGTTAGCCAAACAAGTCAGTCACATGGTCAAACACAAAGACAAGAGGTGGGGAAATATACTCTGCCTCTTTAGAGAAACTGCAAAGTCATACTGTAAAGGATGTAGGTACAGGGAGATGTGGAGAATCGGGGTCATTATTGTAATCTACCATGTTTGAGTGACTGTATTCCCTAACAAAGTCCATCTGAACCAAGGTTCAGGGTATCAAAGCAAGAAGTTGGGACATGATTTAATTATGTGGACCCAAGTAACAGCTTTTTAAACTTGAAACAGATGGCCAGGCACAGGGGTTCACATCTGTAACCCCAGCACTTTGGGAGGCCAAGGCAGGCAGATCACGAGGTCAGGAGATCGAGACCATCCTGGCTAACATGGCGAAACCTCCTCTCGACTAAAAATACAAAAAATTAGCCGAGCATGGTGGCACACGCCTGTAGTCCCAGCTACTCAGGAGGCTGAGGCAGGAGAATCGCTTGAACCCAGGAGGCAGAAGTTGCGGTGAGCCAAGACCGTGCCATTGCAACAAGAGCGAAATGCCATCTCAAAAAAATAAAATAAAATAAAAGTTGTAGTAGATGTTATAATATTAGAAATTAATCCTTTTCAATTAACATTAAGTGCCTAGCTATCTGAACATTTACGTATATATTTGTCTTATCGAACACAAAACTCTTAAGGCAACTGTTAATGTTACCAACAGTTAAGTGAAACTTAGGCAAAAGGACTTGCTAAAGGCCACACAGACGTTAAATAAGCAGGATCTGAAACAGAACCTCAAATGCCAACTCAGGTCCTTCACCATAACAGTTCTGTGGTTGTTTGGATAACCAAGAATTTCGAAAAAGAGTATGTGTTGTATGTAACATTGACGTGTTATGAGACATAGGGAAGGGCTATAAATGAACTTGCCATAAAGGTCAGGCCTCATCCTGTTGTGGCCACTCTGGCCTGCCACAGACGCTATTACCTGCCACAGCAGAGCTCCCGCACATTGTCAGCTGATAATGAAATACATCCCACTCCACTCTCACCCCCAGCCTGTATTCAGGCTGTGTGTCTAGAACTGCAGTGGCTAGAGGCCTTAGAAGCATCACTGCTTTCTTGGCTGTTTTGAAAAGCAGAAAGAGTAGGTAAGAAGCAGCAAGCTGGAACCAAAATCCAGAGGTCGTGGCCCAGATGGGGCTTCTGCTATGCTTCACAGCAGCACGGTGTGGCAGAAAAGGCAGAAACATCCAACTTCTGCTACTTAGTACCTTAATCTTTGGACAGGTGGCTCACTCTATTACTTGACTATACTTAAAAGCATTTTGTTTATGAAACGAAAGTGAAACACACCTACTTTGGGAGTTTACAAGAGGAAGCACACATTGAGGGTTGGGAAAGCTTTTCCTGAGATAATAGTTTGATTCTTTCCTCGGGGGTTGGCAAGGCTGAACTCCCTAACTATGACCCTCACCTCCCAACATATTTCCTGCAAAAGCCAGAATCATTTCCTTCCTGGGGTCTGGGACACCTTTTGGCGTCTGGTGGAAGCTCTCCGTTCCGCCGGGAGGACTCCAACTCAGCCGCGTTCTTTGGACGCCACCCGCGCGGTGTCCCATAACTTTCCCGGCCAGTGGGCACACTGCCTGGGCGAGTATTTGCTCTCTAATCGACCATTCCTTGCTCAGGTGTCGCCCTTCGTGCCGGGACTGCGGCCTGCTGAGCCCCAGGTCGGAATCCACGCCTCGCCTCGCCCTCCGGCCTGCACCCGCACAGCTGGTGAACTTGGCTAAGGTCCGGGGAACGGAGGTGAGATGTGGCGCTAGTTTTAGGCACACTGTACTCGTCCACAGATTGCAGAGGAGCCGGACTGGAGGATTCCTTTGCCTCAGGCAAACGCGTGATCTCCCAGGGAAGCTCGGAGGGGGGCGGGGAGCTGGCCCACTCTGCGACTCGCTCCCCTCCGGCTGGCCGAGTGTCTGGGGCTGGCGCCAAGCTCACTGGACGAGGCTGTCGGGGGCGGGACGGCCAGCTGGGCTGCCCTCCCCGCAGTGACGTCCCACGGGGCGGAGGGGCGACCGACTGACTCCGAGCGCTCCCCCCTCCTCTCGTGCGGTCCGTGGGTCCTCGGGTGATGCTGCTGCCGCGGTTGCAGTGGTCGCGCACGCCGCCGCCCGCCAGCCCCCTCCAACGCCGTAGCGCCGGGGTGTCGGAGGGCGCACCCGAGTCGGGCCATGCGGCCGGGAACGGCGCTGCGGGCCTTGGTGCTGGCGGTGCTGCTGGTGGGGCTGCGGGCCGCGACAGGTCGCCTGCTGAGCGGTGAGTGCGCGCGCTGGGGCAGGGGTAGGTGCCGGGGCGGGGGCGGGGGCGGGGGCTGGTGCCTGGGCGGCCTCGGCCAATGCACTCACTGCACCCCAGTTGTTGCTGACCCTCTTCTGGGCCGCCACGCTTGGAACTAGGGAGACGTCCCATGCCCCACTCCCAGACGCAGCCCTCCGGAGTCTCCAGCTTCCAGGGAGCAGTCGCACGGCGTGGGAGACCCGCGCCAGTTCCCGGGGCCGCCCAGTTCCCTGCGAGTCCTGGAACGCTCGAAGCCAGTTCCCGGCCCAGAGTTACGGGGTTAGGTTGGAGGATGTAGGAGAGGTGGGGCAGTGGGCAAACCTGCCTCAGTGGGTGCCTCTTCGGCCCGCTCCTTTACATGCATCGAGGTAGTCCCTGGGACCATCCCTGCAGGGGAGGCTTGCCAGCTGACTGCTGCCTACCTCGGGCTTGGGGAGGCTGCGGCAGAGACGGCGGGGTAGGGATGCTGGGTCCGGTACTCCTCGTGTCTGCTAGTGGGGAGGATTGCCGGGTCCAGCGCCTGGAATGAGAGCGCTTGGAGATCGGGAAAGAACTCCAGTTAGGGTGGGACGAGACTCGCCTGACTCCGGGGAATGACTCTCTGCTTCCTTCCTCCTGTTGTGTCACTGCAGCCTCGGATTTGGACCTCAGAGGAGGTACAGTGCTCTGCCCTCTGGGCTCTTTCAGTTGTTCTGCAAGTCGAGGGGAGAACATCCGTGCCCTTTCCTTGGGTCCCCTTTCTGGGTGCCAACAGGTTGACCAAATGGGACAGAAAAGACAGGGAACCTCCTCCCAATTTAAAGAATGGAAAGTTG